CAAAACGCGACAAATCGAACTCGACATTTCAAAATCCATTTCTCCTCGTTGGGGGTAGGCTGGGTGGGTGAGCGAGTGGATGTGCTGGAGCCGCGCGTGGTTTGAATGAACGGATCGAAGCGCGTGCTGGTTGGCCAAGACCCGAGATTCAAAAATTCTATTTGAACAGAAAGAAGGCAGCCAGCCGCAAGCACAATTCACAAGATAAAAATATGCACGAGAAATATTTGCTTACTACATAAATAAATTCTACAATATACGTCCAGACCAGCTGAAAGCACCGTGGCTCACTTCTAGCCACAGCACTCCTATTACCCCAGAGAGTCCTTGTGGACACCAAGGGCACATAACTGCACTGCATCTCTTCCATCTCAATGCAATCTCAAAGCCACCCTCATCTGTTCATCCATATACTTTCTCGCCTCTGCCAGCCTCTGCTTCAACTCCTCATCCCTCCGCTCCTTCCATTGCTCCGGCTGCCGAGCCATTATAAGCCGATGCAGCTCTCGCAAGGACACCATTCCCCCAAAAACATCGGCCTGGCGACACACTGGGCATGTGATGTGGGGTGACGCCATGCGAATGTCTTCAAAGGCGGCGACTTTCGCCACTGACGAGGCGCACGAACGGCAGTAGATGTGCCCGCAGGCCAGTGCAATTGGATCGAAGAACACATCCTGGGAAAGGGTAGGTGGAAACAAGGCGGGGGAAGGGGAAGCAGCAACAAGATCAGCAGGTGCATTCCATCAGCAGGTGCATTCCATCAGCAGATGCATTCCATCAGCAGGTGCATTCCATCAGCAGGTGCATTCCATCAGCAGGTGCATTCCATCAGCAGGTGCATTTCATTAGCAGCAGATTTCATCAGCGAAGAGTTAATACCAGTAAAGGAGAGGTCAAGGTGACGGGAGAGGGTAATTCAAGAAATGAAGGTTCATAATGAGGGTGGGCAAGTGAGGACGACTGGTAGACGAAGAGCAGTGAGGCGGCTCTTTGAAATGAGATATAACAGGTAGTACTGACGACACATGCCAGGGGGAGGAGCGTGGAAAGCAGTTTCCATACCTACAAGAGTCGGATTACTAACCCAGCAGTTCACGAAACTTGGAGATTGAGAATGAACTCGTGCAAGGCTGAGGGGTAACTCAATAAATAAAGGTGGGTTAAAAGCGGCAAAACGGGTCCACGTTTCAATGCGTGACTTTATGCTGCACGAGAATGAGGATACCGAAGCAGGGAAGCAGCACTCACAAGGCAGACGGGGCACTTGAACTCCACGTGGGCGTGGAACTCGGGCCTCAGCTGTAGCTCCAGCACCTGCTCCGACCCCCCATGCTGCTGCTCATGCTGCTGGTGTGCCTGCTCTGACTGCTCTACCTGCTCTGACTGCTGCTGGTTCTCCTCCTCCTCCTCCCCCTCCTGCTGCAGCTCCTGCCCTGGCAAATGCTCTGGAGTTCCACCTGAGCTGACGGCCATTGGGTTCTCACTCCCAACACTCTGACCCCCAAGCAGACTCTCACTGCTGCTGAAACAGCTCCACATGGTATCAGCAGCAGCACCACCACCACCATCGCTGCACTCGTTTACCAAGCCCCTGTCGCCCAGACCCACCCCCGCGCTCAGCGCCCCTTCCGAGCTGCTTTGACCTTGACTGCCACTGCCGATGCTGTTTCCGCTTCCAAATACCCCCATTCCACCGCTGCCGCCCCCACCACCAGCAACAGCACCACTGCCACCGCTTTCAGCCATAAGCTGTGGTTCGGTCACTTGGTCCCTTGCCAATGAACCAGCAGAACCCTCAAAAAGGTCCAAGCTACACCCACATTCCGTTAGAGGCACTACCTCCACCTGCTCCTCCTCGTCACCGTCCTCCTCATCGCTCCACACACGCTCCTCCACCTCCCTCACCGCAGCAGGACTCCCACTCCCCCCACCTGAGAAACCACCTGGAGAATCGCCTGAACGGCCATCAGCAAGCCCCTTCCCCGGGCTCCACGGCAGCCTACCTGAAAAAACACCTGCCGCGCCCCCGCCGCCGCCCGTCCAGGTGCTCTGCATGGGCGCGAGAATGTGCAGCCAGCGCAGGTGCTGGTAGCGCCACTTGCGGTCGCAGTGTTCCTTGCTGCGCTGGGGGTCAAACCCCGGGCAGCGGGGGTCGTGGCAGTAGCGGTGCATGTGATGGTGGTTGCACCCGAACAGCTGCTGGCGCTGCCGCTGCTCGCGCCTCTCCCCCCTGGTGAGCGGTGCTGGCGAGCAGCCGGAACCTGCTTCACCATGACCGCAGCCCTGATGCCGCTGCTGTTGCTGCTGCTGCTGCTGCTGCTGCTGCTTCAGCTGCAGCTTCAGCTGCTTCTGCTCGAGCGCATAGCTCAGGTTCGACAGCAACGCGGTCAGCTCCAGCATGAGAGGCGACCGTAAAATGCGCTGCTGCAGCAGCCGAATTCCTTCCAGTTGCTCCGCGTTTCCGCCGTTTCCGCCGGCTCCGTGGCTCTCAGCCATGTCCGACACATCCCCGTTACTGACCCCCGTTTTCACAGAACTACTGTGCACCTTCACGTACTTCTTAACGATTTTCCTTGTAGCGAGGTAGCTGAGGGCGAGGTGCTCCAGCAGGCTCGATGCTGCACAGTACATGACCTCGGGCCTGAAAGAAAGGGGGAAGAGGGGGGAGAAGTGAACCGGGGGGGGAGAGGAGAATGGAAAGCGGGAGCGGAAGGGGGATAGAGAGTTGACTTTTGAGTCAACCCGACGCTGCACGGTACATGACCTCGGACCTGACAACTGGCCTGCAGCGCGGGGATATGAGAAAGCGATAGAGAAGGGGAGAGGGAGGGGAGGTGAGGGAGGGGACGGGCGGGGAGGGGAGGGGAGGTGAGGGCGAGGGTGAGGGCTAAACAAAAGTGAACTGAGAGAACAATCCAAACAAAAACAGTCTGCTTACTTGCTGTAATCGGAGAAGCGCGAAAGTATCGCCGACAGCCCGTGCGCGTTATGGCAGCTGATGACGCGAGCCGCCTCGCGAGTGAAGCTTCGCTCGATGCTTCGCAGCTCTTCCTCCAGAAGCTTGAAAAACTCGTCGTCGCACTGAGGACAACCGGCCGCCGGCTTGACAGCGTCAAAGTTGACGGAGTTAATAACGTCGACGGGGTTGACGGAGTTGAGGGCGTATTTGGAAGCGTCCTCTGGCGGGCTGGGCGCGCATGCTGGAATGGCGTCGCTGTGAGCTCGCGAGGAGAGGCATCGCTTAAGAATCTTCTTCAAAGCTCGGTAGTCAACCTGAGCAAACCTGGATGGGATCTCTGCATTTTCGCATGAGGGACAGAAGCGAACAAAAGGGAAGAAAACGATATGATTTTTGAGTCGACTCAAAAGAAAGCTCGGTAGTCAACCTGAGCAAGCCTGGACGGGATTTCTGCATTCATTGAGTTACTGCACGGAGGACAGAAGCGAACGAGCGAAGCGAACAAAATGAAGTATTTCAACGCGGCGGGATGATTCGAGGGTGATAACTCGTGAGGTTATAGCAATCTGAAAATCCCTTTACCTGATGACTCGTGCAAACGAGTTTGGTAACTCTGGAAAGTCTTGCCGAATTTCATGCTGGCGACAGATGGCTGTTGCTTAAGCCTTTAGGAACGCTTTAAGACGTCTTAAAACCACGAAGACAGCAAGCTACGTCGTGCCTCCCCTCCGCAAAGTCTGGTCTCGCAAAGCTTCGTAGTAACTGTTCAGATCAATCAAAACGTCGATGATTGCAAGTTACACTCTATATCTCCACTGCTCTTCCGCTTACAGGCCGGTCAACGCCTAATGGACAACACGAATGTAGGCAAAGGATCACAGATGTGGTGAACTGTAATCGGGACCTAGACTGGCAGGAGTCTGAACTGAAAGAATAGTGTCTAATGGAGAAGTAGAAAGTGGAAGTGGAAACAGGATATCAGAGGAAAGTGAAAGTGAAATCTGTCAACAGAGGAACCTTGAATTCTGGCAAGGAGGGAGGGAGACACCAACCAGCTTCTGCTCTTTCTCTGGCATATGGGCAGTCTGCCAAGAGCCAATGAACAGTCTCTTGTACCACAAACGTCTGCCCAATCACGGGCCACGTTTCTTGGTTTGGGAATTCTCGTCTGGACAATTAGCTGCCGTGATTTGCGGTGTAAGGGACCAGGTCCCGACGCTTGACGTGGCTTTGGGTCTTTGTTTTGCTTGGCTGGCTAGGTTCGGGGGTTGTGGCGCCCCTGCGTGGTCTGGTTAGGGATTGTCAGGTGTGCTTCGGCTTGTTAGGCGCAATGATGATGTGACGACGTGGCGAGGAACGTGCTTCCGTTTCATGTTGCTCTGTTGGAAAACGTGCAAGCAAAGCAAGGTTACGCTGACTCGGCTCAGCAGCTTATCACTTTAGGTGCGTCGAATATTCATTCACACGGGAAAACACCTCAGCGTGTCGAATCGGCGTCACTTTTGATGATCCGGGAATGCCACGTCAACGTAGTCTGGACGAATAACAGGCTCGCTGAATATCCAGTGAATTTGGTTCGACTACCAGTAGGTTACGGTACAGCTCCTCATCACCTCACCTAGCTGTTGCGTTGCGGCTGACTGGCAGAACCGCAACCGTCTACCGTGGGAAAGTCAGCAGCGCGGATTCGTTGTGCGTCGCTTCAGCTACTGCTCTCCAACCCGGTACTCGCCAAGTAGCGATACCTGTCGCAAACAGCCCATTGGCTGTTATGTGTGCCACCGCGAAAATGGAAACGTAAACGAATGTCTGACGACAATTATGTAGCAGCAGTAACCAGTCAACGAAAGAAGGTCCAAATTTGTGGCACGATATTAGACTGGAAAAAGCAAATCAGGAATCCACTGGTTTCTGAATCCCGTCAATACATGACAGCTTGGTGAATGCAACCTCCCATGGCTTCTTGCCCACATTCCCTTGTGAATTCTATAAACTCTCGTTTTGTTTGGGCTATTTCGATGCCTTACCGTCCGTGTGAATGCTCGGTAACTCTGCGCGTGTTCTCGCCTCTGCGCCACTTGATGCGGTGTCCCTAACGTTAAGACGTTCATATCGCGCCATCTTCGAACCGCCACGTGAAGGAAATCTCGCTCAAGTCCAAAGGAAGCTCGTCGCCATGAAATTCGGGAAAGAATTTGCGAGCTATCAGAATCGCCTGCAAGAATCGACAGGTACTAAGTAACATCACGTGGCGATGATTTGTTACTAGCAAGCTTGATAGCTTCGATGGTACTGGAACTTTTGAGGAAACTCAGTCAGGCGGCGACACGTCCGTCCGACGGAATCCGTCGTTCTTGACGACTATAGGCAGCAGCGTCCTCTCTAACAGCTCTTTACGCTGTCCGACAACGCCTATTATTCCTTGAACCTCGCCCTCCCTCTCGTCCCCCTCCTCGCCCTCGGCCCACCCTTTCCCGCAGACCTTACCGCGCGCTTTCCGCAGGTGAACTACCGCGCGCTAAAGAAGATTCTCCGCCGCTGCATCTCCTCCCGCGCGCTGCGCGCCGAGCTGCACGCGCAGGCGGAACCGCACGCGGCGGAGGCGGAGCTGTACGCGGACGGGGGCGCGGAAGCGGATGCAGGGAGGGCAGCGGCGGAGGCGGGGAGGGAAGAGGCGAAGGCGGAGTTCAAGCTTTCCGTGGCGAACTGCGACGCAGTAACGACATGCGCCCGCGGGGAGCTTTCCGCGCTTTCTGCGCCAGCAGCGAACATGGTCGCGGAGGGGGTGGCGGAAAACGGGCCACCAGCAGCGGCGGATGTCGCTGGTGGCTGCGCGCAGTGCGACGCGGAGTTTTTTGGGTTGCTAGAAGCTGAGTTAATCAGCATCGAGCGGAGCTTTAATTCCGCTGCCACGCGGCTGCTGAGCTGTCACAACGCGAGAGGGCTCCAGCTCATGTGCCACGTGCTCTCGCCACGTCAGCTCTTCTCTACGGGCGGACACGGTGGCTGGAATCCGCGCTGGCATTCGCACAAGCCAGCGGCCCTCCACCACGCAGCGAGCAGCCTTCTGGAACACCTCGCTATAAGCTTCCTCGCTACGCATAAGATCATCAAGAAATACATCAAGGTGCACCGCAGAACGAGCCTCAGCCCGAGGTTCTGCCCGTGCCTCAGCGTATGCGACGGGCTCGGTACCCCGGAATCATGGGAGAAGGTGAATCATGTGAGGCGCCTCCAGGGGCGAACCGTACGGTCGCCATTGCTCATCGAAGTGACTGCGATGGTGGCGAATCTAGAGCTTGTGATGGAGGGAGAGAGGAGAGGGATGCACGGAGGAGGTCGTGGAGAGGAGAGGGAAGGATTGGGAGGAGGAATGGAAGGAGGAGGCAGGAATGGACGGAAGAGGGGAATGGAGAGCTTGAAGGCGTGTGCAGCAGAGGGGATGGGGCCACGAGGGGAGAGAGGCGCCGAGAAGAGTGGAAGCAAGAAAAGTGGAACTGAGAAGAGTGGAGCGCAGGGGAGTGGCGTTGCAGCGTCAGTGTGTCCGCTCCTCGGCTCGGAGCTGCTGCTGAAGGCGGAGTTCAGAGCAAAGGTGGACGTCACCTGCCCCGTCTGCCTGGTGAGCCCCATGTATTGCCTCGTGCACTGGCCCACGCATTGCCCCATGCGCTGCTTCATGCACTGCCCCATGTTTTGAGCCCCATGTGTTGCTGTGCGTGCCTTGCCAGGCAAAGGTGGACATCACCTGCCCCGTCTGCCTGGTGAGCCCCATGGGTTTCCTGATGTGGTGAGCCCTCGGTGGTCTTAGTCTCGCCTGTGCTGCCACGCATGCATCCCTCTCCCACCCGCCTCCTACCCTCTCCCACCCGCCTCCTACCTTCTCCCCCCCGCCACTCTCACCCGTCTCCACCACACCAGGAGGTCCTTTATGAGGCAGGAGGCGAGACCCACATGTGTCGCTTGCCTGCACACGCCTCTTTTGCCGCGCCTGTGCTGCCACGCATGCATCCCCACCCGCCTCCCGCCCTTTCCCTCGCGCCACTCTCACCCATCCATACACTCCCACCCCTCCAGAAAGGCCCCTTAGACCCCATCTCCCTAGCCTGCACGCACATCTTCTGTCGCAGCTGTGCTTGCTCCGTCGCCCACGTGCCCGTCTCTCCTACCCTGTGCCTTCATCCCTCCCTCCCTCTCTCTCCCCCTGTCCTCCTTACCTGTCATACCAGGAGGTGCCCTTTGACCCGGTGTCTCTCGCCTGCACGCACATCTTCTGTCGTGGCTGCGCTTGCTCCGTGGCGCACGTGCCGGTGTTTTTCGGCCTCGACTCCGCATCGCCCCACATCACGTGCCCTCTGTGCCGCCAGCAGGGGGTGTTTCGGCATCCCCGGTCTCTCAGGGAACTGCACAGGCTCATCATGGCAAGGTAGGGTTACCACCCACCCCCTAAGGTTACCACCAAGGTAGGGTGTTCTTTGGGCTCGACTCCGCATCGCCCCACATCACGTACCCGCTGTGCCGCCAGCAGGGGGTGTTTCAGCAGCCCCGGTCTCTAAGGGAGCTCCACCGACTCATCATGGCACGGTAGGTAGGGTTACTACCAAGGTGCGGTCTTCTTTGGGCTGGACTCTGCATCGCCCCACATCACGTGCCCACTGTGCTGCCAGCAGGGAGTCTTTCGGCAGCCCCGGTCTCTCAGGGAGCTCCACAGGCTCATCATGCCACGGTAGGGTTACCACTGCATCCAGACAGGGTTACCACCAAGGTAGCATTACTAGCAGCAAGGTACGGTCTTCTTTGGGTTGGACTCCGCATCGCCCCACATCACGTACCCGCTGTGCCGCCAGCAGGGGGTGATCCGACAACCCCGGTCTCTGAGGGAACTGCATAGACTTATCATGGCCAGTTAGGGTTACCACCGGAGTAAGGTGTGTATGGGCTGTGCTTGCTCTGTGGCGCATGTGCCGGTGTTATTCGGTCTCGACTCTGCATCGCCCCACACCACGTGCCCGCTGTGCCACCAGCAGGGGGTGTTTCGGCAGCCCCGGTCTCTCAGGGAGCTCCACAGGCTCATCATGGCACGGTAGGGTTACCGCATGAAGGTAGGGTTACCATATCGAGGTATGGTTGTCAAAGGTGCCCATGGCTTCGCATCGCCCCACATCACGTGCCCGCTGTCCGCCAGTAAGGGGTGTTCAAACAGCCCTGGTATCTCTGAGGGAACAGCACCAACTTACCATGGCATGGTAGGGTTACCAAATCAAGGTAGGGTTACCGAATCGGTGCGGGGTTGCTAACTCAAGATAGGGGTACCATTTGACGGTAAGTTCACCACATGAAGGCAGTGGACCAGAGCAGCAGCCAGAGACTCGGAGCAAGAGAGACGATGAGGGGTGAGGCTCTTTGCTCCTTTCTCTGCTCTCGAGCCTCCCTCCCTGCCAGCCACGGCTTCCCTTGGACCCGGGACCTCTGTTGTATCCTGCACTGCATGCAGTCAGGGGAGGGACCAGAGCAGCAGCCAGAGCAAGAGAGATCACAAGGGGTGTGGTGCGGCTCTTTGCTTCTTTCTCTGCTCTCGAAGCTCCCTGCCAGCCACGGCTTCCCTTGGACCCGGGACCTCTGTTGTATCCTGCACGGCAGGCAGTCAGGGGGTGGACCAGAGCAGCCACAGGAGTGGTAGGGAAGCATGAGTCTGGCTGTTTGTTCTCTTCTTTCTGAGTTCCCTGTTGGCACTGCTTCCCTTGGCCCTGAGGCTGATGCTGTATCCTGCACTGCAGGTGTGGGACAGGAGCAGCGACAGGAGTGGTAGGGCAGGACAAGACTGGTTGTTTGCTTCTTGGTCTCTAAGCTCCCAGCCAGCACTGCGTCTCCATGTTGCTGTACCGCGCCCTGCAGGCAACCAGAGGAATGGAAGGCGAGAAGAAATGAGGAGCAGAAGAGGAGGCTCGAGGAGGAGAGGCGGTACTGGGATGGTCAAATGCGCATAGCTATGCACATGAGGTGACGCTCCCTACTGTGTAAAGAAGAGCTCATAACTGGATGTCACATGTCTGTGTTGGTTATTTTGTACATTTATGTATATGATGATGTATATACGGTAAGCGTGTCTTTGCCAGTTGTGTGAGACCTACAGCAGATGTGCTGCGCTAGTGTTTACTAACTATAGGTGTAATAGATGATGTAAATGACAAAAGTGGAATAACACGAACTGTTGTACCCGCTGAGAGTTTGTTGGAAGCCCTTGAACAGCACAGCGGAGGCTGCCAAATGAGGAATTTGTGACACGTGAAGTTTTGCCGAAGTGGCAGAGTTCACCTATCGCTCGCCAGTATGCCACGTCTAGATATCCGGGATGATCACAACCCGGATTGATCCATCCCAGTTTCCTGGCCGAGATCCCTCATGCACTTTTCTTGAAGCACCCTGTGGTTTGGGGCTGTAGAAATAACAAAATAATTGGTCGTTCGTGCTTGCTGGGTTTGCCTATGCTTATTCGTGGTTTATTTACTCTCGCAGGTGTTTGGCTGGAACTGGAATGTTTTTGCAAGCTATGTTTGAGCAAACAGAAGGTTCAGCTCTCTAGACTTCGACGGTGGGAACTAGATTCCTGCCAGCTTGGCAAGCTCGCTCTGGTGCAAGGGAAAAGCAACCATTGCTACAGTGCCCAACAATGAGATTCCTCCTTGGTTTGGTGCCATTTTCGGGCAGCTGCTGCTCCAACTCTCAAGGTTAATCCGCGCCTCTGTCGAACCGCCTCGATGCTGACGCGCCTGCTGCCGAAGCAGCATGCGAGGTGCGAAAGGTTGCGCGACGGGCTGCCCGGCGCGCGGGGCAAAGTCCCGCTCCCTCAGTTCCCCTTCTTCACCTGGTGCGAACTCGAGGTTCGGTTCAGGCTGGGTTCCCTCTCTGGCATTCTTCTGCAGCAATCAGCCCAGGAGCAAAACGTCATGTGGACCGGAGTCCTCTAGGAACAATCCTCGGATTCCTTCACTCACACGCATACCCTTCAGCTGTGCATTATACTCTGCAACTCCAAAACGTGATTCCCATCCTCAACGAATCAATTTCAATATTCTCAACCAGTCTTTAGTGTGAGGCGGGACTCCAGGATTTCTGTTCGCCAGCGCCTACTGTAGTATTTCCTTCCCGATTTCGACGAGTGAGAAATATTCAGCATGGCAGGACTTCTGGCTAGCCATATCGCTCTCTGTCCCTCGAGCACCGTAAGCTTCGCCTCTTCGCAAACGAGGCGAACTCCCGCGAGAGCAGCATACGCGTAAGCCTCGTAGCATTCCGCTGCTCACGATTGTCTCCAGTGTTATCGTGAGAGCTTTCATTGACAGAAGCATTGGTGGCTTGTGCAGTCATCCGCATGGCGGACGGACTCCTGGTGCACCATCCCCGCTCACTCCGTACTCAGCAAGGTATGTCGAGAGTTCTAATCCTGCTGCTTTTTTTTCTTTCTCTCCCTCAAATTCCGTCCTCTGAAAGTGCTCATGGTGTCACCTTGTACAGGATTGAGCAATTGCATTCGACGGCAACGAAGGCAGTTGAAAGCGCGGCCTCTACCGCTATTAACTCTGCTCCCACGTCTGCTGTCGCGTCATCCTCACCCTCGTTGAGTCCCTTCCGGGAAAGGATAAACGATTGGTAAGGAGAGCCTGCTTATAGTTGAACCCGAGCCCTATCTGTCATGATTCCAGATAGCCGTGTAAGGCGGCTTCCTGATCCAAATACCTCTTGTATTCGCAGGTGGGCTGATCATCTTGTAAGCAAGGCCAATTTCGTGGAAGCTGCTGCTCCATCTCTTTCCTCGGACGACGAAGAGGAATTTCTCATTTTAAAGCCGCCTGTTGAGGTGGATTCTAAGTTCCAGCTCCCCCAGAAGGGGCATCAGGTTAATTATTGACGCGAGCCAGCTGTAATCGTCTATATGTTGACAGCGGCGGTCGTCAGGTGGCCGCGTTTGTATATAGAGCCCGATGATAAGATGAGTCAATGCGCCTTGCTTGCTGTAAGGTGCAAATATGGTGATTTGCTGATTCTGTTCATTAGGAATTCTGCTCCGTCTCACACCTGAGTTTCTGTAATACAGCTGCAACTGAAGTGTCTGCGTTCTCGGAGAGCCTGTGGGAAGCGAGCTGTAGAAAAATATCTTTCAGAATGAATGTGAGAGTATGTTGTCAAACTGTACAACGCCTAAACGAATTATCTATTGGAACGTTGTACCAGGACCGTTGGGAGAAATGCTGTTTCTGGAAGAATGGTACACCATGGCAACTGTCAAATGCGCCTTATGTTAGACAAAAAGTGGTTTCCTAGTTCACCTTCTTTACTCTAGTTGAACCAAGTGAGGAGAGTTACCCATAAAGAAACTAGGCTCGTCTTCAAGTTATAGCAATTCCTTTGGTCTAGTAACAAAACGAGCAGAAACACAAGTTAGCCACAAGGCAACCTCCCTGTATGCTATGCTAGTCAGCAACCTCCCTAACAACTACTATGCTAGTCCGCCTTCCTTACTCTGGGTGGGAGGGAACAACACTACGTGGACAATGCGGAGGTGCAACTCCCGTTCCCAGCAGACAGTGGGTTAAGGCATACCCGACAGCCGCCAGACCTTTGAGTCAACTCACAGTCACCACTGCTCTAATCCGCCTTCCTTGCTCTGGGAACAACACGGCGTGGCCGACGCGGAGGAGCAACCCCCATCCCCAGCAGCCAGCGAGTCAAGGCATAGGAGGAGACAGCCACCAGACCGCCGAGCGTCCTTGCACACTCTTACAATCCAAATCTCTCTACACGGTGTTCTAGTCCGCCTTCCTTGCTCTGGGAACAACACGGCGTGGCCGACGCGGAGGTGCAACCCCCATCCCCAGCAGCCAGCGAGTCAAGGCATAGAAGCTGACAGCCACCAGACCACCGAGCGATGCCAGCCACACAGGGTGGTATGAGAGATACTGGAGATTGGGAGGGATGAAAGAAGGGAGGGGGGCGGACGAAATTGGTACACAATGAGTGCGAGAGTAAGCAAAGATGGACAGGCACACTCTTGGAGACAACCCCCATTTGGAGCAGCCAGCTTAGTAAAGGCATAGAAGGAGACAGCCACCAGACCGCCGAGCGAAGCAAGCCACACAGGGTGGTATGAGAGGTACTGGAGAGTGGGAGGAGGAATGGAAAAAGAGGAAGGCGAGCGGGGAAGGGAGAGGCGAAGGAAAACAGGCATGCAACGAGTTGGATATGATCAGAGTTGGAACGAGAATGCAGAGAAAAATATTATCAGAGGCGCTCATCCTCAAATAAAGCATAAGGTGACAGCCACCAGACCGCCAAGTGATGCAAGTCACACAGGGTGGTATGATTTGAGTCGACTCAAAACACACCAAGTCACACAGGGTGGTATGATTTGAGTCGACTCAAAACACACCAAGTCACACAGGGTGGTATGATTTGAGTCGACTCAAAACGCACCAAGTCACACAGGGTGGTATGATTTGAGTCGACTCAAAACACACCAAGTCACACAGGGTGGTATGATTTGAGTCGACTCAAAACACACCAAGTCACACAGGGTGGTTTGATTTGAGTCGACTCAAAACACACCAAGTCACACAGGGTGGTATGATTTGAGTCGACTCAAAACACACCAAGTCACACAGGGTGGTATGATTTGAGTCGACTCAAAACACACCAAGTCACACAGGGTGGTATGATTTGAGTCGACTCAAAACACACCAAGTCACACAGGGTGGTATGATTTGAGTCGACTCAAAACACACCAAGTCACACAGGGTGGTATGATTTGAGTCGACTCAAAACGCACCGAGTCACACAGGGTGGTATGAGAGGTACTGGAGGTTAGGAGGGATTGAATGAGGAGAGGGGAAAGACCGGTTTACACGAGCATGAGTTTGGCCAAAACAGACAAGCACGCCATTGGGCAGAAAAGCTGACAGCCACAAGACCGCCGAGTGATGCCAGCCACACAGGGTGGTATGAGAGATACCGGAGGATAGGAGGGATGAAGGAGGAGATGGGGAAAATCGGTACACAGTGAGTGTGAGTGGAAGCGAATACAGACAAGCACGCCATTGGGCAGAGAAGCTGACAGCCACAAGACCGCCAAGCATGCAAGCCACACAGGGTGGTATGAGAGATACCGGACGTTAGAGAATAAATGTGAGTACGAGGGGAGGAGAACGAGGGAAAGATATGTAGAGAATGAGTGTAAGGACGATGGGGGGGGACACTCAGCCTCAAAACACTTTTCATCCTCTTGAGTTGAATTTTGAGTTGACTCAGAAGTCAACACCATTGAGAGCCACTCAGCCTCAAAACACTTTTCATCCTCTTGAGTTGACTTTTGAGTTGACTCAGAAGTCAACACCATTGAGAGCCACTCAGCCTCAAAACACTTTTCATCCTCTTGAGTTGACTTTTGAGTTGACTCAGAAGTCAACACCATTGAGAGCCACTCAGCCTCAAATCAACTTCCCATGCCCTCCCTCATGTACCCTCGTTCTATCCCACACCCTCCCTACCTACCATGCATCCCACGCCCTCCCCTCCAAGAATCTCGCCTGCATGAACGCGCGGTGCTGCTCCCATGCCATGCGTGCCGCTCCCATGCCATGTGTGCTGCTCCCACCACTCACCCGCATGGCCTCCCATGCACAGCAGAGGGGTGAATTGACTGCGGGCCATCACTCACCCGCATGAGTCGTGTTATGAGTCGACTCAAAACATGAACGCATGGTACTGCTCCCATGCCATGTGAAGGCCAGGCACAGCAGAGGGGTGAATTGACTCCAGGCCATCACTCACCTGCATGATCGCGTGATACGGCTCCCACATCCCGCTCCCACATCCCGCTCCCACATCCCGCTCCCACATCCCGGCCGGGGAGTCAACAATCCCATCCATGGCTGTCGGCTCCCTCGGTACCTTCTCCTCCCCCACCTCCCTGTACTCCCCCCCACCCCCCCCCCCCCCCCCTTTTCCCCCACCCTCCTTCCCCTCCCCCACCTCATCCCCCCTGCCCTAGAACGTTCCAACAATCCTAGCCTGAGTGTCTAAGGGAGCCCCACCAGACGGCTCCCCTGAGGCCTCCCCCGGTCCTCTTACCCTCACAATCCCTTAGACACTCTTTCCCACACCCTCTCTCACTTACTCACAGAAGCCCCTCACAACCCTCCCTCCCAACAAAAGCATCTCACCTGCATGAACACCTGGTACTGCTCCCACGCCCCGGCCAGCAAGTCAACAATCTCACCCCATACCACTCCCATACCACCCTTCCTTTGCTGTCCCTCCCAAGCGACTCACCCGCATGAACGCCTGGTACTGCTCCCACGCGCTGGCCAACAGTTCAACAATCCCATCCATGGCTGTCGGCTCGCCCGGCACTTTCTCCTCCCCCACCTCCTTGTAAGCCCCCCGCACAAACCGCCGCAACACCGCTGCCAAATCTTCCCCTCCTGCTCCTCCTCCTGCTGCTGCTGCTGCTGCTGCGTACCCCTCCCCCTCAAACTCGTCATCTCCTTCATCCCCTGTGTCGTCCAATCCGCCACCCATCCCGTGCCTGCTGATCAGGCTCGGGAGAGAGGCTTGGGGGAAGGAGAACATGGCCCGGTCTCGGAAGAGCTTGAGGACAGGCTCGGAACCGACGCCGAACCTCTTCTTCAGCTTCGGGTTGGCGTCTACATCCACCTGGGATGGACAAACAAGGGAGAGAATGCGCGAGGGAAAAAATCAGTAAAGGAGGGAAAATTCCCCAGGTGAGCGGCAAGGAAGGGCCTGCCTGCTTGCAAGGAAGGGCCTGCAAGGAAGGGCCTGCCTGCCTGGCAGGCAAATCGTCTGGCTTTTCCACTCTCTCTTGTTCATGAAGCTCTTCTAATTCCTGCTATCCTCTCTCGCACTCTCTCTTCCCTGTAAAGGTTTCCCACCTGAGCGGCAACGAAGAGCCTGCCGCGATGAAGAGCGGCAATGAAGAGCCTGCCGCGGTGAAGAGCGGCAATGAAGAGCCTGCCAGGCACATCCTCCGGCTCGTGCTCTCTCTCGTCGCCAAAACGCAACCCCAACTCATTCTATCTATCGCTCACCCTCTCGTCTCAGCGTAGAGTCCCCACAAGCGGCTCCTCTCACACTGCTGTCTTGTCAGAAAAAATGTCTCACGTCGTCCTATCCATCTCTCACTCCCTCGTCTCAACGTGGAGTCCCCACCTGCGCGGCAATGAACAGCCGGCCAGACACGTCGCCGACTCTTTTCTCACAATCTCTCTCTTCCCCAACTCATTTCAACTTCTCCCACTCTCTTTGCTGTAGATCTTCCCCCACCTGAGCGGCAATGAAGAGCCGGCCAGGCACGTCGTCCGCGGAAGAAGCAGCCTCCTTAAGCGACGCAAGGATGCGGTGGCATGGCGACGCGGAGTCAGAAGAGGTCAGGCAGTCTGACGTGGCGAAGAGAACGAACCTAGGGGGACATCGCGACGAACGGGCAGGACGGAAAACGGAGGGAGGCGGAAGGGGGTGCGGAAAAAAAAAAAAAAACAAGAATTGAATGTTGGAAACTCTTTCTGTGATCGCAACGTGGCTGCAAGCTTATCGCCATAGTGTTTACCACGCAACTTACCATCGGCCCGTGGTCTGCCCCGACGATGCCTGTGTATCGTGCTCGAAGGACGCGTCTGTGAGCGCGCGCACGCGGTACGGACGGAAATCGGAGGCCGCGGCGACGCTGATCAACGCAAGGAGCGAGATGAGCGAGAGGAAAACGCCCGCGGGAGACGCGATGCGACGGGGGAGCGCCGTGAATGGCGCAGTGCATCTAGACGTCGCCATGTGTGCGACGCGGAACGGTGCACGGTGTTAAAAGCCTTATGGTGAGGTATTGGATAATGGAGGTACGGGAATGCAGAGGCAACGGCCAAGTTAATGGCGGAACAGAATCAAAGCGATTCACGGAATAGAAGCAAGGAACAGGTGAAAAAAAAGAGAAGCGACGTACTTCAGTAGAGCAGAAATGATGGGATGGGAAGTGGGAAGAAAAATCTATGGCGGCTGCCGCGTGCCCTGCGATTTTCCCGCTTCTTGGGGAAGATTTTATCAAGGTGTTGGCATTTCAGTAGCGGCACGCATGTACTCGTCAGTGAGCAAATTCAAATCGAGGCACGTTTTTTATAAGACTACCTAAATCAAGGTTCTAAGTCTTTTGTGTAGCATCTTTGTTACTTTGCCAACCATGAGACTTTCTGTGGCTCCCGCCGTTCCGGCCCCACCTTCCAGAATTCCAGCATGTTCTTTCGGAAGAAACGTGTTGCTTGCATCAGATGAGTGCACGGCCCAAACAAACCTTTCGCCACGTCACTCCCGCCACGTGCTCTCCTCGGCTTTGGGGGACCACTGGCACACCCAACCTTCAACAAAAACCCCTTTCTTTCGCTAGTGTAACATGTCCTTGCTGGAATTGCGTTTCGCCATAAATATTTGTCCTTATTGCGAGATGAGCGAACATCGTTCGTTCTCGCGAACTCGGCAGAAGAGCCCAGTGTAGACTCCCAGTATGTGGCAGTACAAAGCTTCCATACCATGCCAACTTCGCCATAGCACGCTCGCTACGCCCGCTTAATCTCTAGAACCACACCAGGATCAAACAAGCTGCGTGGTTTACGGGATTAGATGCGTCGCGTGCTGTGCGTTCCGCACTGCAGGCCACGGATTGGCTTTCTCTTTGCTCTCATTCGCTGTGAGCTCCGTCAATTGATGAGGCAGTAGGATTGGCGGTACGCACGTACGTGTCCCTGGCGCGGAGCGTGTACACTAAGCCTCCCGCGCTGCCTCTCGCACGCGTCTGATTCCGCGTGTCTGCTCTGTCATCCGCTCGCTCACGTGCACGACATTTTGACCTTTCTTGATTCAGCATTTCTCTGCCGTAGGATCGTTGGCATCAAGGGTTCAGAGGATTTCACCAACAGTTTCACTGGACTGCCATCATGATCCCCACCGCCGCCTCCTCCACTAATACCACCGCATCTCCCGCCGCCTTTTCCGCACCCGCTGCCACCGTCGCGTCACCGCCAGTCACGGTTCGTAACAGATCACCTGCCGCATCGACAACTGTTCATTCAAGCTCGTGTTTGGCACCGGTGGCGACAGGACACGTGACCACGCCTGGCGACGTCGCAGGCTGCGCGTGCGACGTCGCACGGAACGACGAAATCGCCGGTGCGCGGGCCGTGCCGATGCCAGTGCCGGGATCTAGCTGCGTAAGTAGCTCAAACGGTGCTGCCGCGGCGGCTGACGTCAGCAGATTAAACCCCGACGGTTCAGCGGTGCAATTGTCGACTGCGGCAGGCATTCCAGTTGCTTCGACAGGGGGGCCGGCTGTAGTGGCCTCTGCGACCCGCGTCGAAGCGGGTGCAGGGGGTGCAACGAAGCCCGAGGGCGATCTGGGGTTACGGGAGAAAGCTTTGGCGGCGGGTGCCGCAGCTGTGGTGTCGGCCGTTATTATGAACCCGCTGGACGTCGTTAAGGTACGCTGGTAGTGTAGCTATGCTGTTGCTGGTAGCGGAGCATCCATTCAGTAAATCGGTTTTGTTTTTTATTCAGATAATTCTCATGTCTATCGTCTTTCTCGTCCTCTTTGCCTCGCTCTTCGCCTCCCCCCTCCCCCTCCCATTCTCAACGCCCATGCAAACCACATTCCCCCCTTGCGCCACTCCCCCGCCCGTCCTCCCCCCTCCCCTGCTTCATTAGACGCGGCTGCAGGCGCAAACAGCGTCCGCATCTCCCCGCGCCCCCGTCCGCCCGTCGCCACTCGCTTCCACCTCCCCCGCCGCAATCACATGTCGTGCGCTCTACCCCTCCCTCGCCGCTACAGTCACATCCGCAGCTCCGTCAGGCTCAGCCGCCGCTGCCGCTACAGCCGCTTCTGCAGCCACTGCTGCTACAGTGTCCGCTGCTGCTACAGCCTCTTCTGCTACATCCACCGCCGCCACAGCCGCTGCTGCTCCAGCCTCCGCTGCTACAGCCTCTGCCTGCTGCCGCCCCACCAAGTTCTGCTCGCGCCATCCAGCTTTCCATTCGGCTGTAGCCGCTACAGCCGCCTCCGCCCCCTCCCCCGCCGCCTTCTGCTCCCTCCACCGCGCCCTCTTCCCATCTGCCGTTTTTCCAGCTGTAGCGTTCCCGGCTGTAGCCGCTACAGGCGCTTCCGCCCCCGCTGCCGTGGCCGCCGTTCTGGCCCGGGGCGGGCATATGCACGGCCCTGGGGATTTACGGCGGGCGGCAATGTCTTTCTGTTGTGACGTGGCGGGATTGTACGGGCATGTGCATGGCGGAGTGGCTGCCGGTAGTGGTAGTACCCACGGCAACGGGTTCACACACGGGCATGGGCATGGGCATGGGCACGGGAGCATTCATGCAAATGTAACCCATCTGCTGCCGAACCAGCACCAGCAGCCGTATCAGCATCACCAGCCCCACCACCATCTCCCCCAACACCACCACCACCCATACCGCAACACATGGGACGTGTTCTCTCGGATAGTGCGAGAGGAAGGGGCTTTGCGCTTGTGGCGTGGCACGGGCGCCTCTCTCCTCATGGCTGTACCAACGGTTGGGATCTATCTCCCTGTGTACGATATCCTCAAGATCGAGCTCGCAGCGATGTCGATCAACGGCCAGGATCGCGCTGTGCCGGAGGCGTATGTGCCGTTGATCGCAGGGTCGGTGGCGCGTGCACTGGCTTGTGTCAGCTGCGCGCCATTGGAGCTTGCAAGGACTCGCATGCAGGCACAGAGACCAGTGGTGGGGGCAGGGGTGGGGGCAGTGGGGGTGGTAGGATCACCAGTGGCAGCAGCAGCAGCAGCAGCAGCAGCAGCAGCAGCAGCAGCAGCAGGAGCAGGAGGAGGGGCAGAAGCAGGAGCCGCAGGAAGCTTGGGTGGGGGAGGGGTAGTGGGTGGGTCAAGGCCTGGCACGCTAGCGACGCTGCGGACGATTCTGCAGCCGCATTCAGGCACTCAAGGGCTGCGCGCGCTGTGGACAGGTGTTGACGCCCAATTGGCCCGTGACGTGCCGTTCTCAGCCATCTGCTGGGGTCTATTGGAGCCCACCCGGCGTTACCTGCTCAGTAGATCTGCTGAACAGTGGGAGCAGAAACAGCGGGACAGGCAGCAGTGGGTTCAGGGTGGTGCTGGTGCTGGTGCTGGTACTGGCAGTGAGGTGTATTCTCATTCGCTTATTGAGGCTGCGGAGGAGGCTCGGCAGCTGCCGCTGCTGCAGGTGGTGGGGGCGAATTTCGCGGCAGGGATGGTGGCGGGGAGTGTAGCAGCAGCAGTGACTCACCCTCTGGATGTGGCCAAGACGAGGAGGCAGATTCAAGTAACAGGAACTCAGCTGAACACTGCTCAGACGCTGCAGCATCTCTGGAGGTGAGAAGGGGTGTGGTAGGGTTGTGGTAGGGTTGTGGTAGGGCTGGGTTGGGTTGTGTGCGGTGTGGGTGCGCTGGAGCGAGGCAGCAACAGCGACTCACCCGCTGGATGTGGCTAAGACGAGGAGGCAGATCCAGGTGTCGGGTGCTCAGCTCAACACTGCAGCATCTGTGGAGGTGAGCAGCGGAGGAGGGGGGGTGGGAGGGAGGAATAATGTCCCAGAAGTTTGTTGTCTGATTCTCTGTTTGTGTGTTTTTTTGCCGCACGGTATAACTGGTGTATCCATGCCTCGTGTGTTTGTGTTGCCAATGCAGGGAGGGAGGGATGAAATCATTATTTGCCGGGGCTGGTCCTAGAGTGTTGAGAGCTGGCCCATCATGTGGAATTGTGGTCACTTTTTACGAGGTGGTGAAGCACCTGCTCAATTAAAAAAAAGCTGTGACTACTGTCGCCCCATTTTTGCTGTAAACACGTTCTTGTTGAGAAGGATGGACCTTTCCTTCGTTCTAAATCATGATTCTCGCAGTTATTTCCGTATTCTCCCGGATAAAATACCCAAGGGTATTATGAAAACCACTGGAATAAAATGGGGGGGGGTCTCCTCATCGGTCCCCCCTCACAGCACCTCCGAGGCATGCTGCGCGGAACCGGCATTGGCACCTTTGATGCCCATGGCGAGCCGCGACCCTACACCTACGAGAGGTTTTTTGCCATCAACTCTCATCGACGCGACCCATCGAAGAAGCTCACCGCGGAGCAAGAGGAAGAATTGGCGCGCCGCGAAGCTGAGGAGCTTCGCCGGCAAAGCCTCGCAGAAGCACGTGGGACCTTCGCTTGCGCCACCTGGGGAGCTCAGGCTGAAGAAAGTGCCTCCAATGAAGAGGGGTGGGGGAGCGCTGGAGGATGGGGAACAAGTGACACTGGCGGCTAGGGAGACACCGGCGGAACCTGGGCCAACGCGAGTGGCGGATGGGGCGCCACAACTAGCGCCGACAATAGCGGCTGGGGTACTTTCCGCGAAAAACGAAAGGGGGGAGAGGACGAAACTGAGGAAACTGAGGCAACACCTGCAGTCGTTACTTTTGGCCGTCCCCCGCGTCACATTCCACCCGCACCACCTCCTCCTAACAACCCCCCGCGTCGCGATCCATGCGACACCATCATCTGGGGCAACGAGCCGTCAACCCCGCGTCGCACCGTCTACGGACCTGCCCTTGAGTCACGCGAATCGGCGTTCGTACTTGGCACGATCTCCGGGACCAACATTTCGCTCTCTGAGATTCGTGACAGAGAGTTCTTGGCGCTGATGCTGACCACCGCGCTGGAAGAAGAAGAAGCAGAGGGAGTAGCAGCGAACCTGCTCCTGTACCTGACGAAGACCCTGAGTGTGAGAGGACGTCCCCGTTATAATATTTTCTCACTATTATATTTTTCCGTTATCCTATTCTCCCTTTTCTCCTCTTTATTTTGGTCTTTATCTCATCTCAATCGGCCTACTCTTCTATTTTCTAGAGCCTTCTATTTATTTCTCTTATTTCCTACTTTTCCCACCGACATACCTATTATACGGCACCGACAGCGCCGACAGTAGTGTATACGGTGTAATCTGGGCGTAATCCCAAGTGCCAATAGTGTCAGAATATTATCTTATGCTCTAGCTGTCAGAACATATAGCTTACTTATTTGTGTAGGCTATAGTGGGGTATCCCATAGGGGGTACAACCCAATTAGGGTTTCCTATTTGTACTCACTTCGTTCATAGTCATTCCATTCTCGTTCACTTCTTCTCATGGTATCGAGCAGGTTCCCCTGTGGGAACTGTTCTTAGGGCCCACCTCCGCTACCTCGTAACTTTTTTTTCTGCCCGGAGCGCGCCCCGGGCCCTCTTACTTCCTTTTTTTTTTTCGATCTGCCCTAACGGCCCCTAGACGCCCGCGCGCCGCCCGCCCTAGCGCCCGCGCGCTGCCCGCCCTAGAGCTCGAGCGCGGCCCGCCCTAGAGCCTGACGGCCGCCCGCCCTAGGGCCTGAGCGCCGCCCGTTGTCGCCCTAGCGCCCGACGCCCGCGAGCCGCCCGTCGCACCGCCTGTGCGCCGCCCGTGCGTCGCCCTCAGCAGCTCGCCGCGCCGCCCGTGCAGCCGCCTGTGAGCTGCCTGTGCGCCGCCCGACGAACCGACCGTGCAGCCGCCCGTGCAGCCGCCCGTGCGGCCGCCCGTGCAGCCGCCCAGCGTGAGCCGCCCGCGACCGCCCAGGCCGCCGTCCGTGAGCCGCCCGTGCCGCCGCCCTCAGCCGCCCGTGAACCGCCCGTGCAGCCGCCCGCAGCCGCCCGTGAGCCGCCCGTGCAGCCGCCCGCAGCCGCCCGTGAGCCGCCCGTGCAGCCGCCCGCGAGCCGCCAGCGAGCCGCCAGCGAGCCGCCCGTCGCGACGCCCGCGCCACCCGTGCCACCCGCGTCACCCGAGCCGAACGGGCCGCCCGTGCAGCAGAGCCGCCCGAGCCGCCCGTGCAGCAGACCCGCCCAAGCCGCCTGTGCCGCCCGAGCCACCCGAGCCGCCCGAGCCGCCCGAGCCGCCCGAGCCGCCCGAGCCGCCCGCGCCGCCCCAGCCGCTCGAGCCGCCCGAGCCGCCCGAGCAACCTGAGGTGCCGAGCTCCTGCTCCTGTGGGGCTGCTGCTGCTCCTGGGCCGGCGCAGCTGCTGTGCTGCCGTGTTGCTGTGCCGCTGTGCTTCCCGACTCTTCCTGCCCGGTGAGATTGTCAGCTGCTACAATGGCCACCCCCAGTGTCCTGGCTTTTGACGCTGAGGGTCGCGCCATTGACTTTGCAGTCTGGATTGAGGACCTGCAGCTGTACTTACTGTGCGATGCGATCGATGAGGTTTCTCTCTTTGACTTTGTCTCTGGCGCTGTCCCTGCCCCTCCTGCTGATGCTGGCCCCACTGTTCGCTCCAAGTGGGCCACACGCGATTCTGCTGCACGTCTTGCTGTGCGTCGCCACCTCCCTTCCTCCGAGCGTGCACACTTTAGTCAGTGCAAGACCACTCAGGCCTTGTACGACGCTGTAGTTGCACGCTACTCCTCCCCTTCCACTGCTACACTGAGCCGCCTCATGCTACCGTACCTCTTCCCTAACCTTGCTGCCTTTCCCACAGTCACTGACCTCTTTACCCACCTTCACGCTAGCGACAGTCGCTACCGAGCTGCGCTTCCTGCTGCCTTCCTCGCCGAAAACCCCCCTCCCATGTACATCACCCTCTACTTTCTAGTCACCCGTCTCCCTGAGTCCCTTCGTGCTGTTAGGGACCAGTTTCTCTCTGTCTGTCCCACCACCCTCACTGTCGACCTCCTCGAGAAGTCCCTACTAGCGGCCGAGAAGAGCATAGTCGCTGTAGGGGCCTCTCGTGGTGACCCGCGCACCCCCATCTTTGAGGGGTGTTCTCCTTCCCCCCTGCTCCCCTCTGTCGCCTCTGCTGCTGCGGCCGACCTCGTTGGTTTAGAGTCGGTCGGTGGGGCGTCTGCCCCCAGCGGTAGGCGCCGCTCTGGCAGGAGCAAGGGGGGCAAGGGAGCGGGTGGAGCTAGCGGGGGCGGTGGCGGAGGAGGTGGGGGCGGCGGGGGGAGTGGGGGTGGCGGTGGGGGTGGAGGTGGGAGTGGAGGTACTGGTGGCGGCTGTTTAGGCGGAGGTGGCGGCGGAGGTGGTGGCGGAGGAGGCAGTGGGAGCGGCGGGGGCGAGGGTGGCGGTGGCGGCGGTAGCGGCGGAGGCGGGGGTGGCGGTGGTGGAGGTGGTCGGAGTGGCTCGTCCCAGAGGAGCAGCATTGGGGGTGGTCAGCGCCAGCAGCAGCAGCAGCAGCAGCAGCGCTCTCGCGACGTCCCCGCCCCTCAGCAGCTCCGTGAGTGGTACTCGCAGCGTCAGCGTGGTGGGGCGTTCGGTCCCTGCGCCTACGTCCTTCGCACCGGCGACCGCGCGGGTGAGCAGTGTGGGGGCACCCACACCGCTCGCCGCTGCTTTGCCCGCTTGACCGACGCTTGGCGCCAGCAGTTTCCGGAGGCCTCTGAGATCCCCCGCTGGGGAGAGCTGTCTAGGGCTGGTGTAGCGGTGTTTGATCTTGACTTTGATGCTATCCTTGCTGCCATGTATGCTGTGACTGTTAGTGATGATGGTGACTGTTACCGGTGTTTCCCGCCAGACCCGGGCATTGGTACTGCAGTGTCAGGTGCCGGTGAGGCTGCTGCTCTAGGTGCCAGTGCGTCTGTGCTCTCAGGTGCTAGTTGTGAAAACAAAGAACGAGGATGGAATGACTATGAACGAAGTGAGTACAAATAGGAAACCCTAATTGGGTTGTACCCCCTATGGGATACCCCACTATAGCCTACAGAAACAAGTAAGCTATAAGTTCTGACACACCCCCATAGGCAAAGTGGGGGAGAACAAGGGGTCACAAGACCAGTCAAGCAAAGCAAAGCAAAGCTCAGGGTGGATCACAAAGTCACCACGCATTCCGAGCACAAGTTCAAAGGCCACAAGGCCAGTTCACATGCAAGATCATATATAGAGATATACAAGAGCAAGAGTATATATATGCGAAAGTACAAGCAAGGTCAAGAGGAGAGCAAGTGAGGCAAGACAGGCACAAGACCCAACTGCGTGCAGCAACGCTGATGATCACAAGGCGCAAGTGCCTTGGTGAAGACATCAGCAGTGTTGGCCTCAGAGGCCACGTACGCAAGTCGCAGCTGTCCACGCTGCTGTAGCTCACGAGCAAGAAAGTAGCGAAGAGCAATGTGCTTCGTTCTGTGCTCCAGTCGCTGCTCTCGACACAAGGCCAGCATGGCCTTGTTGTCTACGTACAGGACTGGAGGAGAACGAGGCTGCTCCCCAAGGTCGGTCAGCAGGTAGGTGAGCCAGCGTAACTCCTGTGCAGCCATAGCCCCAGCGTAGATCTCAGCCTCACAACTGGAGCCGAGAACAGAAGACGAGCGGGTAGCCCGCCACGAGACAGAGCCGGAACCAAGGCTGA